TATTAAAATTTTCTTCGCGTGGCCATAAAAAAAGTTGATTAAAAGTACAAAATATAATTATAGTAGACTACGTATTGTAAAAATAAAATACAATGGAAAATGTATGCATTTTTTTATCCATTACATTTGTAAGACAACAATATTTTTCTAACTGTGAAACCATTTTCTATATTTATTATAAGATAGAAAACTTCAAATTATTTATAAGTTATATGTATACAGGTACAAAACGTTTATTAGATAAAGTTATTTTATTTAACATTTCAAGTCAAAAAATTAATGAATTAATCATCTGGTTAAGTTTGAAATTTGAAAGAACCGTTATAATATTAACCAATGTTATTATGTATACGTATAGGTTACCTACCTATATACTCATATATTATTTTTGAGATAATATGTTGATCTTATAATAATAATTATATGATTTAAGATACGTAAAAAAAGTACGTATAGTTTCTTATAGAGCAGTCAAACAATTTTATTTAGAACACAATTTTAATAAGACGCYAAAATGTTCGATATTATATTATCCAAAAAGTGAATTGAATTTGACTTGGCCATGAATAAAAATCGTAGTGTAGGTGCTGGCAGCAGAAGCAATATAGCTGATGTTACCCGAATGATTAGAAAAATGTTTAGCTATCATGATGAGCCAGAAAGTTGTAAYTTWTTTTTCGCTTGACCGCCACTAATTACTACTACTAAACTATCCGAGAACCAGTTTGTTGCTAAGTAAAAAAAAATGAGAGACRGACAGAAAAGTAATTGATTAGGATTGTAATAATTGCCGACAGAAACCCGTTAACGATCGGTCGGAGCACACTGAACTAGATTTTTTCCGTCTTATACCCCATCGAGTTTTTTTGTCAGTATTATATTATAATTTATAAGTTTATAACATATACRMGGAATTTCATAAAATATGACTGTCTTGAATAATGACAATAATATTATTAAGTGATTTTACAAACTTATAATTTTTGAATCGATAGATTCATTTATGCAGTGTGGACAAAATAATCGACTAGTTCCATCGCCTAACTCAGTGATTTCCAAAGGGTGTGCCGTGAAATTTGAAAAATGTGTCACGACAACTTGAACTTTTTTTATTAAAAAAGTATTATAAAAAGATTATATCTGTTATTTTTAAATCATTCACCAATCTAATTGATGTTCTATTATCGTATATAGAATTAAATTAATCTGTAATTGTTGAACAGTAATAATTATACTGGAAGTTCTCAATAAAAAAAAAAAAAGATCATAATATGTATTTATATTGAGATAATATTTATTCAAAGTGTGCCATGACTGGCGTAACTTATAATAACTAATAATAATATGCAGCGATGGAAAAAAGTTTGGAAACCATTGACTTACTTACTAAGCAGTGGTGTACCTGTAAAACATTTTTTATGTTTGGGGGGCATAACTATGTTATGGGAGGGTCTAAATTATTTACACAATTTTTTATGGTTATAAATTATAATATAATCTGAAACCGTATTATAAATTATAGTTAAATACTTTAAAACATGAATCATATAACAAAAACTAAATTTCTTTTTTTACTGTCAAATATACAACTTTTAATATCAAACACGATTATAATCAATGAAAATTAAAAATATTTATTAC